CCCCCACTGAATATGCTCTGGCTTCACCTTTCTTTTTGTTTCAACAAATGTACTGTAATGTATGCATTGTATTTTTCTGTGTGTGCTGTTGCACCATTGTTAATCATTTCGATCCAATAAAACTGGGAATTTAGTTTTCATTGCTATGTGAAATAATTTGGTATTATAACGCAGTTGACCTTCTCTTTTATTGCTGCACAAATCTGTCCATTTAATTCCCTTGTCCTTCTTGATATCCCCTTGAGTCCTTCAGATATGAAAAGATATTAGCAAAATCAGCGTTATCATGAGCATATGTGCTGTATTTTGGCATGTGTGATATCTGACTTGAAGTTTGTACCATTCTCTTGACTGTAAAACTTATATCTTCTATAACTATATCTACCTTTCTCTCTTTTTTTAGGGCATGTAGGAGTATGCATCCTGCCATGAATAACAATACAAACACAGGAAAGATACAGCAGTATGTAATTCAAATTTAGGTCTGGAATTCAAAGAACTTGTCATTGTGAATAATTATTTAGTCCTTTAATTTCTTTGTAGATAGTGCCATTTAACACAGTTAAAAAACAAGACCGTGGGAAATGAATTAATGTGAATATAACCTTGAAACAGTCAAGCTGCACACCCCTTTAATTTCACTTTTAGACCAACCTTGAGATTTCTACTCTACAATTCAACCTTTGCTTGTAAGCTCTTGGCTTACTGCAGAATCCATCACTCCCCGCCGAAACGCCTATCATTTCAATGTGTCACATATAGGAAGAAGGGCGATACATAACCGTTACCTGCCATGTCAGGACATTGTTCATCACTCAGGGTGAGTAGTGAGAGCTGTTCATTCTTTTCCGTATCTCAAAAAGGGGCCCTGTGCTTTGACGTTCCTCCCATATCCCCGAGGGGGAATTAACACTAATGAAATGGCAGAAAGGGAGACACTGGCTTTGTGGTAAATGTGCAGGTGAATGAACAAGACTTTAGGGGACGATACCTTTCGTTGGAGGGCACTCATTGGTTTTCTTCAAACGAGCTGTGAGCCATATTTGCCCTCAAGTGCGTGCTGTATGTCAAATCAAGCGTTTCACATGCCAACAGGGCCCCACATTGACTTTGCAGGTACATGCTTGTTTGCCGCTGACATTGTGCTGAGAACACTTTCCTTCATTATTTTCCCGTGTAAAGAACATTTGCAAGATAAGAGTAGAACCCTTGGTATTAAAGTAATTAACATCCATTTAGGTATTGTTTGCTGCATCTCAGCGGAAAAAGAAATGTAATTAAGTTGTTGGTGTCTGAATCTATTTTGGTTTCCATAATAGATATCAGATTTTCAGATTTTTTTAGACAATACTTAACCTTCTCTTTCTTTATCTAGTGAATTATACCACTGTGCAATATACAGAAGGACACACTGTAATATGTTGTCTGTGTGATGTGATAAATTAAAGACGATTATGTTATTTTGTGGTGTGATGAGAGAGCTCCTTGGCTGTGGGATTGTACCAATTACATTTCAAAGAGCGAGGATTAAGGAAACTTGTAGCTAGCTAGAAAAGTAATGTTTCAAAATTTGTAACACTGATTATTTCTAAGCACTCTCCAGTATAAGCATTCTAACTGAGAGACAGATAAAGTATAGAGTTGATAAAGCAGAAGAAATTAACCCTTTGGGCCTAATTAACATTTGCGAGATTAGCATAATATTCTCCACTGGGATGTCACTTCCTCTTCGGCTCTTTTTTAAATGAAACATCAAAGCTGAATTGGCCTGCAGATATCCCAAGTCTCCCAATTTAGCGAGTAGGATGCAGACCCCGTGGACCACCACCAGAGAAAATCAGTGAGGGGATAATGAGGAAGCGGAGGTGTCAAAGGCTCCAGAAGGTCCAGCACTGGGACATTATTACTAACGGCACTGCTTGAAGAGCTTGTGCTGCCCACTGATGATCCATCCTTCAGTCATTTTTTGGACCAAAGAGAGTTTGTGCTACAGACCTCATCGTTTTAACTTCTGACGGCAGTGGGCGGCCTGCTCTCCTTCAGGAATCTGTTGGATTTTGAGAGTACTGTGGGCTCTGATGTCACATATCCCATTACACTACTAACAGTTGTAGTACTGACACTGAATACATGGGGATGAAGGGCTGTTTTTCCAGCTGGAGATCAGGCTCTGCCTGGGGCTGGACTGATGTATTTGCTGATACGTCAGACCCACACCAGCTGGTCATCCAGCTCTGATATGATGAATATGATGTAGTTGGATTGATTTATCAATACTACATTGGTTGTCTATGAGAAGCCTGTTCCCTGAATTGATCAAATTACATGCAAGTGTGCATGGATATAGACACTACCTGATTCCCTACTTGGGGGGCCTGGGGCACATTTTAGCTGCTGGGACCTTATTAACCCTTTGTCCCCCATACACTGCCTATCTGTAGTATTTTTATACTGTAACATTACACAACCCCAGGTTTGTTGTGGGCTGATTTGATTACAAACAAATTAATTTAGGATGCAGCACATAAGCTGAAATAAGGAAGATCTTAAAACTAGATTTTCACAGGGCCCGTCTTCAGAACAGGGCCACAAGATCAGGTGGTAAAACGGGACCCAGGTTAAGTATGTGTCAGCGGATAATAAGATTTTTGTAATGCATATTCCCACATTCACAAATAAAATTAAAAGGAATTACATTACCACAAAATTAATGTTGCTTTATAATTAAATATCTATTAAAATATGGTAACATAAAATAGAATAAAACAATATACAGTTATTTATATATATACATATGATACTGATTAATTGATTCTTTGTATAATGTATATTGTCTGCTATGTAGCAGAAGAGAGTTACAAAACTTGATTTCCTACCTATGTATGTGGTGAATGTAAACATCAACAACAAGAGGATAATATGATTTTCTTGACATAAAAATGTGAAAACTGATATTTGGGAAACCATTTTACTGCACCTGAGTCCGCCTCCTCTCATCTTGCCTGAGTATTGTGCTATGTCGGCTCAGAGCACTGTCCACCCGCAGAGCGCTTGATCCAGAATATTGATAAGAATGTTGAGAGTTAAGTAAATCCTTGACCATGTAGTTTGACTAAATAATTTCAAAGAAATAGTTTGACATTTATGGAAATATTCTTATTTGCTGTTTTTGGAGTGGAGCATGGAGCTAGAGCCAGGAGGCAATTAGCTTAGCCTAGCATGAAGACTGGAAGCAAAGTAAAACAACTAGCCTGGCTCCTCTCAATGTAAAAAAAAAATCCCTGTCAACAGCACTGGAGGACCCCAGTAATCACAATTTACCTTGTTTATTTTATCTGTACACAAAAAGTAAATTACAGTTTGTGTTGTATACTATGCTTAGCTAATTACCTCCTGCCTCAGCGCTGTACTTAACGCACTGGCGTGAGAGTGGTAGCAATCTTATCATCTCACTCTCGAAAAGAAAGCAAGTAAGTTTATTTCTAAAAAGGTCCACTTCCTACCTTTAATCCATGAGAATGCTGTTTCATGCAGTGGAAAGCTCTGGAAAAAACTCGTAAGTGGACTTAGTGAATTACTATTATTTTATCTTATCTATGGATCTGCAATATTTTTTTACAATTAAAGTACAAATTATTATTATTTAAATGTATACTATTTACCATGTTTAGTACTGCATAGTGAAAGTGATTAAAGCCTTTTTTTAAAAATGCATTGACTTCTCTGAGCACCTAAATGTACAGCTCGCAGACAACTTTAGCTTGTGTCAGTTTCTTCATTGTCCTTGTTGAGTTCTTGAATCCGAAATGTAGAAAAATATCTACTGCTGGTTTGAGGACTTGTACACAAAAGTTCTCTGAGGAGTCAGGGAGAGGTCTGTTGTTGATGAATGGTGAATATATATTCACATCAATATCTATCTATCTATCTATTAGTGCTGGGCAACCAAATCGCAAGAAAATCGTGCAATTAATCGCAATAAATTAATTGCATTAATTGTTATGTGCTTTGGATTTAAATGTACTGCTACAAACACAAAAGTGCAATAACATGTGGTTAAACAAATAAGGTGCTTTTTACCAGCAGTATTCCCTATAATAATTCTTGTAAATCTCAACTTAAACATTAATGTAATCAAATCAAATATTAAACCAAAGCTATTTGCCACTGCCAGGGCATGACCTTTTATCCAGCTTGTTAAAAAAAGTTACTATCCAGTCCAGTTTTCTTGTTTGTTTTTTTGTGAACAGGTATCAGCAGAGGCAAGGTGAAGTGGTCGAGCACAAGATGTAGCGACAAGCGGGTGCGTTCCCGTGAAACTGAAACTGGCAGTTGTGCTCGCCTCACGCATGCCTGCCCAAATTGTCTTGAACTTTTTGTACGCGACGCGGAGCACAAATCAACGGAAGAAAGACTGATCCCCGCTGTTTGTGAGCTTCCAGAATCTATTAAAACACCAGTTTAATCATAGCATCTGCACTCAATTTGTGAAAAGCAAGACCCCGTTACTTCTTTTCAGTCTTCATTAGTTAAAGTCCCAGATTCTAAGGACAGGCATCCTGTCAAAAAGGTTACTAAAAAACAACTTTTAATTCTTTATGTTAATTCTTTCAGTGCTCTGGTAATTTTTAGCATTGTGTTAAACACGTCTATTGATTAAACAAGAGTGCAATAGCAGAAGAGTGGGTTGCAGCAGTAGCCATCTCATATTAATGTACGAGAACTTGGATTCAATCCTCCAGCAGATAGTTGACTCAAGCAGTTTTTCAAATAAAGTCTGAGGCATTAGGTTAAACTTTGTTAGCCTCCCAGTTCTTCTCAGCAGGTGCTCCTGATTGCTCTGTGCCCACACAGAGCCGAGGCAAAGCAGATGAGTGGATCTAATTGTGGCTCTGCTGTGCTGTATGTCAGTGAGCCAGCCTATACCACTGACTGCTGGCAGTATTAATATCCCAGCAGCTCCACTTATTTATTTAGCTCATCTCTTATTTATTCCTCAGGCCAAGACCTTATTCCCCTCCCCCACCTTCCCCAACCAAATGTGAGTGGTGGCTGGCAGCCGTGCTACAATACGGCCTTGACACTTTGATGCTGGGGTTGTTGATAAGGGAGGTTTCATCTGGGCAGTGAGGACACAGCCATCCGCACATTTCGAGAGATGCTATCCATCTCAAGGTGAGAGATGTACCCCTCCGGTGCCATGTCAAGGTCAACTTGATTGGTTGACGGAGGAGGATGTGAGCCGTTTCAGAAGGAGGCAGTGTTCCTTGCTCTAGCCTGAAAGTGGGCTTCGCAGTCCAGCTGGACTGAGCAGAGCTGCCTGCTGGGTGTCTGCGTGCGCTAATCAGCTGCACTGGGAATCCAAGGTGCCGGTCATTGATTGATGCATGATCATGTACAAGATTAATGCAATTAGTCACAGAGGGAAAATATCTAGTGTAATTACCACTGCGGCGTGAAACTAAACTGGGAAAGAAATTAGTCCTCAAAAGTGGAAAAACAGCAAGTAACTCCATGTTCCACCATTGCAAAGGAAAGAATTAGGCACACAAAACACGACCATGATACCCTTTGCATGGGAAAAAAAAAAATACTGTTAAGACTTATTTTCTGTGTTGAGGTAAACCCAGCATTGTGGTTTGAAACAATTTGCTGTTTGATTTATTATTTTTTTTAAGGAGAAGAAAAAAAAACACAGCGTGCCAGAGCCCTGCACATGATGGATGTGTCACTTGGCTTATTTGACGAGTTAATTGAAAGCTGTTCTCTGTCCCCCGCTAGATTAAGTGCCGCATATGACGGGTTACTGTCAATGAACAGGACAAATGCACCAGGCGTTCACTTAACTGGAAAATCAGTCTGCAGAGTTTCAAAGGAAATTGTTCCGTCTCAAGAACGCCGTTCACATAATCCTGTCATGTGCTCCATTTGCTTAATTTGATTCACATGTAACTAATTCATTATAATGCAAAACAGTTATGCTGCAGTTATCTGCTGTTGACTCAGTGAACATTCTGTATCAAATTGGAAGTAAATTATTAAATATGGTCATTTTCTGTGGAGAGTTCAGAGAACATATAGTATTGACTGCAAAAATTGAGCAAAGCAGAAAAAAATCGGCATCTGTGCAAGGTAGATATAAATTACAAAAAGATGTCAAGATGTAGTATTTTTCTGCCTACAGGAGTTGCTGATGTTTCTTTCTCTTGTTTCCTTGAGTGCTTCTGAAGTCAATTTAGTATATGTTCCCCCAAGAGCAGGTATAAGGAGCCTCTGGCAAATGTATGGAGCGCTCCATGGAGAGCCGGTGCAACTGACAGACTTCCGATAGCCAGCCGGCATAGAAACCCATTACAGCCGTCAGTCTGGCACTGGCGAAATCCATTATATGATCACCAAGATCAATCCATAAGGTAGCTTTTTTGATGTCTGCATTTGAAGCAGCCCAGGGTGATGGATGATTTTAGCCTCCGGTTTTCAGGAACCTGTTTGAAATTCTGCCTTTTTCTCAGTTTGGTCAGTCAATATGTTCTCAGAAGCCGCAGCTCCACATCAGTGCGTCTAGGTGGAGGCGTGGGTACAGTACTACTGGGAGAAAAGAAATGGAAACCAGTGGAAGCAGGTTTTCTGAGGTTCAGGAGATGGCAAACTCAGTATGGTCCACCACTGCATTTCTAAACAGACAAAACACTGTCCTCTCATTGAACAACTCTGTTACACATACGTAGCACTCTCAACATAAACATATTTTCTTCCCTGGAATGTATTGACGTGACATGATAGATTGCCAATGAAAAGCTGCCATCCATCAAGTTCATGCAAGCCTGTGTTGCATTGCTGTGGGGAACAAGTACACTGACAATATTTCTCAGGGTTTAAATGAGCATGCTCATTGGAGGCAGCGCGGGTAATTAGTTTTTCCCAAATATCCAAGACACTCTCACATTCTGTTTTTAGTTACTACATATTACTGCAGTATAAAGAAATTCAGATACGTCTCTGGTAATGTAATTGAGCAGTGATGTACTGCATGTTGACTCCAGCTGAGTTAATGAGCTGTCACGCTCCCTAAAGGTACACTGAGAATCCTTCTTGTCTCTCAATATTAAAGCTTCAAATCAGACATGGCCATTAGTTCAATCTCTGACATTATCCGATGACTTCACATTGTTCAAGAAACCTTTCTAAAATCACTGTCCGGTAACTGCAGGGAATTGCTCACTGGAGATGACTAAGAATTCAGCGAGCATTGCCTGACTGTTCTAATGGCCTTTTGCAAGAATTGCTGTGCAGCATAATCATTAACATTGAGATATCCCCAATTGCGGAGTGTGGAAAGCTATCAACCACTGGAGTCGACTCCGGCCCTCCTGCAATGTGCATTGCCGTGCAGCAAACAACCGGTGTGGCTGTCGTCGCACTCTGTCTAATGACCCTACGCAAATGAGCTAATGGGGATCCAGCACGATGCCTCTGTCCTACCTCCCGGCTTTATCATCCATGGCTAATTGTCACAAGCCTCATGACCACCTAAATGAGCAAAATAGAATCTGGACATGTGTATATGCTCAGACAGAGTGGAGTAGTGGGGATGGTATGGATTTTCACACAAGAACACATGGACCATAGACAAATGGGTGCCATGTGACACTCCCAATTGGTCTCTGCTGTTTAGTTAGCCTGTCAAGCGTTTCTTTGACACAATGTGAATCTCAGTTTGATTATTTCCACCCCAGTGCCATGACGAGGCCAATCTTGATGTTGTATTTCTCACTAGATAGCAGCTTTCCCCTCATCTTTCCAGCAGGATCGTCGCCTTTGTGTTGTGCACTGAACCAGAACCTGTTGCTCTATTCAGTTTGCAGAGCTGGTCAGCCACAATCTCTAAAGCAATAGCAGTTATTTGTGTTTGTTTGCGGTCCCTGTCCCATTTTCTGGCACGCTGAGCCAGAACTGAACCAATATGGTCCATTGCCAGGTGCCACCCAATGTTTTCTTTTACTTGAGGGTAATTCGATATGGTGCTATTCATCAGGGTTTATTCTTTCTCAGATCAGTGGGATCTATCAGAGATTTCTTCTTCACCTTATTTCATACTTCGGAGCACCAGGGGTGGCAAATGAGGATAATGTGCAATATTGCAAGAAGAATTGGTTACACCTGGCTTATCAAGACGGCCGCACACAGAGCGAAAAGCTGTGATCAAAATAATAATCACACTTTAGTTTGACTGGAGAACAGTCAAAGCTATTGTTTTCCCTTAGGAAGTTATTTTTAGCTGGATGTTAACATTTTGTACATTTCCAAATTACACACCCGCATGCAGCCAGATCTTTATAGTCAGTGCAGTGGTAATCATATTAAAGTAACATTGGAATTGCACCATCTTTTAGCCATAATTACACTCATTAAGCACTTTTGATACAAAGCACGCACAGAGAGAAATAAGAAATGAGAGGTGCAGACAAACAAAATCAGTTCTCTTTCTGCACTTTGTTGTGCCAATTAGCATATGATAATTAGTTATGGACAATTGGCCTCCTGGATGGTTTCATTAAAAAGTATCACACTGGGACCTCATTAGTACGATAATATAAGGGGAACTGTTAGACCTGTTTTACTCTGGTGGATGGATCTCGTTTAAACTGGAGCAGTGTGATCAAGGACTCAGAAGTTTGAAGTCTCCTGTAAGGAGTGTCAAGTGGTGCATTTGATTTGTTCATGCTGTAACTTGTTTTTGAGGCTTTATGAATACCTGGGCGTTATGTAAAGTGTGAACAGAATGTTTATCATGTGCTCAGTATCCCCAGGCGTGTAATTATTCACGGTGCACTGACTGATTGCGACCACCTTGATAAGCAGAGACACAAGAAGACAGCAACAACAAAAAAAAAATGGTGCTAATTTGAAAGAAGTCAAACATAATGCCCCCAAATCCCCCTGCTGCTTATAGCAACTGTCATTGACGGGAAAGGTTACTGTTGCTTGCTGCCAGCTGAGGGGGATGCAGAGGAGGAAGGAGAGGAATCTCCCTAGATCTTATCAGAGCAACCCATCCAGTACGGCGTTACACTTCCTTGATCTCTTCTCCCTGGGTCTCCTCTGAGCCTCTGACAGCTCCAGGTTGTTTCACAATAAACCAGAGAAAGGCTGTATAGGAGCCATGCTGTGAGGATGAAGAGCAAGGGCCACACTCTATCTGCTTTTCATGAACTCATCTATTCCTGCCCTGGGAGGAGAAGTAAGCCATTGTGGGGAGACTCCATTCTTCAGATCACACACCAGATTCTAGCTTTCTTCCTGTCCCTGCTGCCAAACAAATGCTTGTTGTAGATGAACACAGCTAATCTTTCCCAAGCCCCCCTCCGCCCTCTTTCCGGGCTGAGCAGGGAGAGTTACAAATAAAGTCGGGTAGTGAGATGGAGACAGTGTTGGCAGGACTTCCTAACAAGATTTGTTTCATAACAGGAAAGGGAGTTGAGCTGCGTGATGAATTATTGATATGAACTCGACGGTGACCCGCCACAGATCAGGGCGCAAAAGTTCAGTGCTGCCAATCCTTGACAGTACTCATTATAAGACCGAGCCAGCTGCAGCAAAATGTCCCTCTGTACCTTTGTTGCTGTCCTCCGGGAATAGCTCTTCAAATGTTATTGGGTGCCAGATGGTTAAACCACAGTGTGACAACAGGTGTCAAAAGCTAAAGCTGCTAGAAAACAGTGAACTCTGTCGTGAGAATTGCTCTACAAAACCCCAACCAATCGCACTTGTGGAGGTGATTTCCTCTGGGATTTAAGCTACTTGAAGAAGCCGCACAGTGTTCTGAAAAATTCTCTCCAAAAGAAAAATGCACAGTGTAGGTAAAACTGCAGCAGGAAAAAAAAATCCTCTATTTTCCTTCTTTCCTTAAATCTTTTATGTCATTTCATTTCAACTTTGCCATAAAGGTAGTTTGCTCACAGCAGTTTGGGTTTTGGTTGAGGCTTATACATGAATTTTCTTTCTTCTCCCTGAGCACATAGCACCTTCTACATCCTTGGCCCCTCTGATCAGTGCTGAGTGCGTTTAGCTGGGAACATAGCACCTCTAACTAATAATCACATTCTCTCTGATGAAACGGCAACAACCGATGCATACTCAGTAATAATAACCTGAGGCTCTGCCAAGATCTGAATGAGCAGAGCAGCAGAAGACAATGGCATCTATCATATTAATTTCAGATAATTGTCTATAGTTATTAAGTCACCAGGACCGTGGTTGGCTGAATCTAATTGTATGACCTTAATTACCATTTGATATGCTTTGTGCACCCAGGCTGGACATGATAAAGCACAAGGAATACAGAAGAGGGTATTTGGGAACTCAAGCTGAAGGCAACACTGACGGAAAGTGCAAGACACCCATTCATAAGAGCAAGGGCTGCACATGGAGTAAAAGTGGTTTCACTTGAATTTAAGCTAAACAATGTGTGGGATGTAATGCTGAAAAACACTATACAATACTTGTCAATGTTTTTTTTTTCAGTGGTAGTGTGTTGTTGACAAAATGACAATTTATTCAGACTGTAATGTGGCCTATTAAAAGATTATTAAAGTTTACAGCATGGGACTTATTTTTGTAGTTTTGGCCATCCATTCTATCATTATTAACAACATTGTACTCATCAAGTTAGTTTGACATTTTGGGAAATACCCCCGGCCCATAGTGTTCACCACAAAATAATCAGAGTACAGATCTTATGGATTTTACGTTTCTGTTTTTATACGTGAGCAATATATAGATACAACACATCAATTACTTTAGAGGCACTGAGAGTGTATTTGTGAATAGAGCCAGGTCAGCTGGTTTCCACCACTTCCAGTCTCTATGCTAAGCTAGGCTACGAGAGTGGTATCGATTGTATTATCCAAATCTTGGCACGAATAAGTGTATAAGCACATTGTCCAAAAAATGGACTCCTACTCCTTTGAATCTAGCGATTGCTATAAGATGTTAGATGGGGAAAGAAACAGTGAGAGAAGTTTTAATCAGATCTTCAGCTTAGCCAGCATATTTAGAAAGTGAAATAAATGAATAATACGACAAAAACCTTAAGGAAAAGTTCACCTACTTGCATTTCCCAGATGATGTTTGCTTAGCAAATTTCTAAGAGTTTTAGCTGAGGAACTGAGCAAAGCCCAACAACTGATGAAGACCATTAGGCAGCGGTGAAAGCCTTGGCAAGCAGAATAGAAGAAAGATTTTTTTTATTTGGAATAAAAAAAAATAAAAGGAAGACGAAAATAAGACCAAAGTTACAATAAACCTGAATTATGCTTTAAGTTATTCCCTCAAAAAGTATTTTTGGAATAGGGATTTTGATTTCTCACCCCACAGAAACAGTGATTCACTTGGCAGTCAAAACATGCACCCTATTAACCTGCCTTCCTGTAGGGGTGGGGGGGTCGGTCTGATCGCCGGTTAGACTGAGGAATGTGAAGGAAGCATCAATATAATTAAAGTTTCATTCCCAGCCAACATGCAAGCTGTTCATGAGCAGACTGTGAAAGCGCTTCTGAGAAAAGAGAACTGTGATAGTCCAAATGGGCTTTTCTTGTTTGCTAAAATCCACCTCCTCTCAGGTGCTTTGGCTTTGGAGAGATTTGTGCAAATCACCAGGACGTACACCCATCTCATCTTTGCACTTTTCTTTCGAGACCTTTTTTGCTACAAGGTATTTTCAGCATTTGGATTCTTGGGGCAGTGTTTTTTTTTGGCGGTTGGTGCAGCACACAATTGGCTTTGTGTCTTTACTTTGGATTCTTTGAAATGGTATCACTGCTCACTTCAGATATGACCCATGTATTATACCACATCACTTTAAGGCTCCCTAAAACTCCCTGGCTTCCAAGTTCCAAGGTATGGTGTGCATAAAAAAAAGAAACCAGATTTTGATTTCTTTAAAAATATAATTGATTCTATGGAGTGCTTTTTACTCAGGAAGTCACTGTGCCATATGTACAATCCTTTGACTCTATCATGTAGATTAAAACACCAACCAATCTGACACTTTAAAGCCACTGAACTGGACCGATACACCAAATCCCAGATGAGAGTCTCAAATTATCATACAGATTGAAGTGATTTCCGGTGTGTGATTCCTCTGATTTCCAGTACATAAGCTGGAGGCAGGAGGTCTGGCTACCTTGAATAGCTGCTGATCAGCTAAAGGATGCAGAGCTGCTGGAGGAGAAACCCCGCTGGCTCCTGGACTTCAGCTTGAATGGATTTTTTTGGTGGTCAGGGTGATACGGGCAGTGGCAGTTATGCAAGGATGACTGGTGGTCACTGACCAGATGTCCGGACATTAGAGGCAATGAATAACTAATGAGGCCAGGAATCACTTCATCCTTAATAATAGAGGGGAGAAAATGAGTTTTCGTGTTATGTTATTGAAGAACCAACACTGTGAAGACTTACAGAGGAAATATTTCTAGCTAGTTGCCTTTTGGTCTGTAGAT